TGCAGTAAGAACATTCAATATGGAGTGTACAGTATATAATATTGGTTTTAAGTATACAGTACACAACCTGTTAAATATTGAACACAACACTTCACAGATCTCTGAAATACATTCATTTTGCATTCCTGAAGCTTTATGTGTGCTCATTAGCAAGTCCCCATTTCTGCTTCCCTTTCCCGAGCACAGTGCTGTGTCCACTTCCACAAATGACTACTTCCGCAATCTCAGATAAGTAGAATCATGAAATATTTGACTTTCTGTGAATAGCGTAAGAAGATATACTGAGATTAATTTAAATACCCTCACTGGGGATGATATAAAATCCCATTATAGTAAATGAATGTACACTGAGTCTTTCATCAAGTTTGATAAGCACCTGTTTATTGAAATCATCTATACTCTGAGATTTACCAAGATAGATTCCAGGTTAAAATACTCATCACACTTCTCTTCCCAATTATGCCTTCTGCCTGTCATTAGCAAATGCAACTATTTTACCCCAAATTAAGGCTGATCAACAGCTTATACCATGGCTTCATAATGATGTTAGTCCTTATCAAAATATGAGCTACTCATTACCTCTCATTTTAAAGTATAAGGAGCATATTTTTTTCTGTTTCTTTCATAATGATTAGCCTAGTGTTGGACATAAGCCATTAGTTTTTAAGTATATGCAAAGTCAATGATATATAATTCTTCTTTAGTCTGAAATCAGCAAAGCTATCAGCTTCTTCTGTAATGGTTTAAAAGATGACTTAGAAAAGGGCCCAAATTTTAAATACTTCAATGTGTCTAGCCTATGAAATCTCCTCGTTTGCTATAATAATATCTCTTCACATAACTTTATTATAATCCCAAGCTCTAAATTAGTAGTGAAAAACTAAGATTATAACAACAAACATGGTAATAGGGTTGACATGGTAAACAACCCATCGGCACATAATCAATTTTGGCTCCTGGCAGTAATGAATTAGAAGTCATAAATGCTTTTTTGGCTTATACACTGTCTTATTTTTGTAACAGTTATGCATTCATAAAAACATGTGCATTTATAAAAACATTTCTTATAGTTATAATTTAGGATTGCAGATGATATTACATGTGGTTTGGTTCTAAGACAGAGAAATATTCCACTCTGAAAAGGTAATCCACTAGAACAGAAATTCATATAAATCCTAAAACTATTCCATCTAAGCTACTTACATTATCACATTACCCAGGAAAATTTTCTGTCAATGTAAAATATCTTGTTTCTATCATTTTAATAGGTTAAATGTACCAGATAAAATTCACATACTGTAAAGTAAATCTTAAATATGCTGGATTCATGGTAGCCTATTCCAATAACCTTTCTTATCTAACATTATCTTCTAGAATTTTTCATCATTTCTTATTCCCCTAAAAGACATAATCATTCTTCTGTGACTATTTCAAATTTTGTTTCATCTTTTTCCAGCTGGCTGCTTTCTTGTCTTACGTATTTGTTTTACCCTCAGAATTGAATTGCTGTCTCATAGGTCTCCATTCCCTGGAATTCTGTGCATTGTAGCAAGAAAAGGATACTAGTAAAACACATATCAAAAATAAAGTGCTTTTTTTCCTGAACCTAATATTGCCATAAACATACATAATCCTGTCTTTTTTTTTTTTTAAATATTTATTTATTTGTACAGAACTGGGGTACAGGCCAGAGATGTGGAGGGTGAGAGGATTCACCAGAGACAGAGTGGGGAGCAGAACAGGCAGATCGACGAAGCACACTGCTGAGGGGAGCAGCGGGTGGGTCAGGAGAGGTCTGCCACACCATGTGGTCACCTCCGGGGCAGGCGGGAATCGAACTCATGCGGAAGTGGCTTTAGCTTCTCAGTGCAGTGCTTTAACCCGCTGCGCCACCAGGGAGGGCCACATAATCCTGTCTTTTTTACTGTAATTTTCAAGTTTTGCCTAAAGTGTTTAATTACAGAATACAAGTATTACTTGCCAGCTATCAGCATTTTTTTGACAATTAACATTTTGATCTTAAAAAATGATTAAGCTGCAATAAGTCAATACATTTACACAAAAATATGAAGATGCACATTTTTATAAATATGACTTCTTCACGAAAGATAAGATCAAGGAATAGGAATATATCTTATTCTTCTAACTGAAGAATCAATCAAGTTGACTACCTCTTTATCTCTATCCCTAATCAGATTAGACCTTATTACTATCTTTGTTAATGGCTTCATAAAATAAGCTCTTCAATATAGACTTTCACAAAAATTCCTTTTTGATGTTCTTGAAAGAATCCTAAATTCTGGCTTTATGTGCACCATTAAACAAACATGAAAGATATTTTAAAGTATTCAATAAAGTTCAGAGGTGTCAACGGCTTTATTCATATATTGTAGGTGTTAAAGAAAGTCCTATATCAGGATAAACTATGCAATCAGCGGCTATACAAATTCATTCTTAAAATGAGTGGGTTTAGTCTATCCAGTTGAATTGTGCTGCATGACAAACTCTCTTTCACTGGGACCTGACATTGGACATAACTACCACAGAAAAAGTAATCCATATAAAACAGAATAAAGGATCTTTGCTATTATGTTATTTTTAGAAACAATGTTTGAATCCTTGATACTTAGCTTAAGACTAAGTCCACTGACCTGAACAAATTTATTGCAGCAACAGACTTAGTAAGTACTTAAAAAGCTTGTCAGTAATAAAAACCCTTTGTCAAGATGAAAATGCTTTAAAATTAAGATTCTAGAAAGGAAAAAAGTATTGAGCTGAAATTTCATTCCACTTATAAAGTACTTTGCCACTTCTAATTTTTCCCCTGCCAATTTAGCAAATAAAAAGACACCGAGAGTTTCAGAAAACTAGAAAGTAGCTATGGATCTAGAATACGAATATACACATACGAAGATGGCTTACCAGTAAAATCACCAATGCCTACCAATTTTCACAAGAAATCTAAATTTCTAATATTGGAATTTGGCAATATTTTGTAAGCAAACATTTAATCAATTTAATGGCATAGGATGAATGTTTTAAGTGGAGTGTGGTGGAATAAATTACTCCATAAAACAGGTGTCAGTCTTTTCTACTTCTTTTGCTTCTACACTGCCCAAAAGTTGGTTATTTATTATGGGTTGGTAAAAGTCCTACATAGAAAAGTAGATAGGGAAATTGATAGGAAAAGTCTGTTCCTTCCCTAAAAAGAGCCACTTTTATAAGAGAATGGAAGAACAAATTTTCATGAGAAAACATCTTAAGAAAAATTAATATACAAAAATAAATAAGAGCAAAGCACAGCACCAATTTGCTCATATTAAAGGATTACCCTTTGTGAGTTAATTTAGTAATCTGCAACACTCTTTAATAACAGGGTTATGAGTGTCATAATACAACAGGGTTCAATAATAGAAATGTTTACAAAATATAATAAAAAAAAATCCTAGCAAAGGAATAAAGCTGCTGTGTACTAAAGTGGGCTGGATCACATTTAATATAAACCCTTTGGAAAATTCCTTCCTTGGATATGCAGGCTATTTACCTGGGACTATATTACTCTTTCATTAAAATAAATGCCCCAACAACACACATCTCAACAAGAGGAACATTAACAACATAAGATCCAACATAAACTTGATATTCATCAAGAGCTATGCACACACACACATTGGAAAGTGGATATTATAAACTCCGCTTTGCTTGATGTAATCGTGCAGTATTCCATTACTATTCATCGCTATCATACAATTATTAAAGGACTATAAAGATATTGGAAGGTTCTTTTAAAATCAGAATTTTCCCTCTGTCTACCTCCCACTCCTTTTCTTGTTTTCCCTACTTTTTCAGTAGGAGAAATTTCATCGTGAAGAGAATACACCTGCCATGTGACATATCACATGCCCTTAACACAAGAACTAATCATTTTTAGAGCTAACTATATTTTATGTATTTTTTTCCCTGAAATTCCTAACTTGCCAATGATTCAACCAACATATTCACATGAGTGTCTCATTTTGCACTTCAGATAGAATGAATAATTTCCTTTCTTCCATCTGTCGAGTTTGGACATTGCCCATTGGGTCAATTTTTCTGGTTTGTTTTTGGTGAGGGTAGTGCCCTCTCCTATGCAATGAATACCTAAATAGAAGCTATTAATGGGTAGCTCATCACCAACCAGGCACTTGGTGTTTCATCACTGGCAAGTGTCATGGTAAAACGCCAACAGGAAGAGTAGATTGTTTCCCCCCACACATACAACTTTTTTTTATCTGATCTCATTCTAGTCAGATGCTTGGACAGAATTCTATTTCTCTTTCATCACTGAATCAGCAGGGTAAAATGGTTTGCTTAATCATGTAAAAGAAAGTCAGACTGGAACAAAATAAGAACCGTGTGGGGTCACAAGACTGAAAAGGCAGAATTTGTCATTAAGTTACAACTAAACATTAGTATTTAAACGGAAACATTATCTTATATTGTCACAAAAACACAAAGTCAGGCTAAAAACAGCAAAAATCATTTCCATCAACCCCGGAAAACTCTTTCCAGAGATGTTTATTTTGGGGGTTCACCCAACTTGTACTTTGCTTTGAAGTTAGCAACTTAATGTGAGGTTTTAAATAATCCTTTTATGTGCATGTTTAGTATCCGATTCAAAACAAAATATACATTTTTCCATCCATGGCAAGTAGCTTGATAAAACTGGTCCCAAGATTCTATTATAGCCTATGCAATTCATATATATAGGAGCACAAAAGAATCCAATTTTGATATCACGGTAAGGCCTTTTTATAAAGCATCAGAGAAGAGGCTTAGAAGGAAGGACTGATATTTTAAATCAGTCTTTGAAACTATTCCATGCCTCATATGCTCTTTAATATAAAAAACCCACAGACACATTCTCACATGCACAAACTCATTCAACCACACGGACGCGCGCACACACACACACAGACAGATCTATCTATCTATCTACAGATATATATAAAAGAACTTACACAATTTCATCGTTCTGGAACTCCAGTTCTCCACAGGTGTCTTCAAAGTCCTCCCCTCCGCCTCTGGCAGTCCCTTCAATGGTTTTATAAGGAACGATAACATTTCCGCGAGCGCCTGATGTTCGCAAGACTTTCACCTCCATGATGCCAATGCTCTCACTCACATGAGTCACGGGTTCCTCAAAAGTGAAGATGCCCGCGTGGTCATCATCAAAAATAGTCACAGTGGCCGTAGAGGGAGAACCCAGGCAAGCGAGCGTAGAGACATGGTTGGCTTCCAGGATGCCATCTTCTGAGGCTTCAGAAGATACTTTGACATTGCTTAGATGCACATGGAAATTTTCATCCTCCTCAAAGATATCGTCATCGATGATGCCAACTCTGATTTCCTTCAGGGTCTCACCAGGCTTGAAGACCACAGTTCCTTCAGTAAATTCATAATCAGACCCAGCATTGGCAGTGCCATCCTCTGTTCTGAAGTCAACAAACACAGTATTGGTCAAATCACCACCTCTGCGGATAATGGTCAGGGCCACAGTACCACAGTTCTCCAGACACTGGTATGTCCCTTGTTCAAAGAAGATCTTACTAACAGGGTCATTTTCAGCCATTTCTGTGTTGACCTCATGCATGCTGACCGCTTTCCTTGCTTGGTCAGCTGCATGCCTCTTTAAGATGTTGCCAGCTCCGGTCATCAGGCGAGTGGCTTGAATGCGATAAAATGCTCGACTCTTCTGCTGCTGACTCAGGACTTGGTAGTTAGCTAATTCAATTAATTGCTCTATTTCTTTCTCTGGATGCTTCTGCTTGAGTTCCTTCAGAATCCTAGCCATTTCTCGCCTAGCCTCTTCATCATCTTGGTCCCTCTCATCAACCTCCAGAACCAGAGCACCATCTAAGAAATTGTCAACATGGGAATTGACCACTTTCCCATCCATCTCGATTTCAGTCTTGGAAGATGGCCTGTCTCCTTCATGTTCAATAATCATTCCCCTCTGTTTCCCAGCCCGATACCTCTTATAGACATACTTGTAAAAGAGAAGCCTCCTGTCTGCCACCCAAGCAAATACAACACAGATGGGAAAAAAGAAAAAAGTAAGTAAACCTTCCCAGACCTCCACAACCCCGGGAGAGATGACAGACAAAATAATGTAAAGCCAGGTATAGGCAAAGATGCTCCAGGCTGCTGTCACGAAGAACACACGCAAATGCTTAATTTTCCTCGTCTCTCCATCAGGAACCACATAAACACACAATGCAATAATGATGAACATATTGAATGCAGCACTACCCACAATGGTGCTAGGACCAAGGTCTCCTGCAGTGAAGTTATGGCCACACACTTCAATTACTGAAAGGAGAATCTCTGGAGCAGAAGAACCCAGAGCCATCAAGGTCAAGTTGGAAACGGTTTCATTCCAAATCCTCACAGTTGTCTTGCTGGTCTCTCCATTGGGCTTCTTTATGGTAATTTCTTTTTCTTGAGATGTGATGACTTCAATAGAGGACATGAACCGGTCAGCGATGATGGAAACTCCAAGAAACATGTAGACCATGGCCACAAAATACACAGTAGCTCTAGCAATTTTGTCCCCAAAGGAAGGATCTTGGGGCTCCCAGATGGGTAAAATCACCCCTTTCTTACAATAATATGAGCCAGTACATTCACCAGTTTCATTGCCTTCTCCTTCCATTTCTGTCTCAGCACTTATATGGTCCACATGGAAAAATAACAGAGCCACAGTGGCTAACAGATGGAATCCCATGGAAAAGTTAGGTGAGATATTTAATCGCAGCATGTTGTAGAATGGCAGACTTCCAAGTGTTGCAACCTACACTGAAAGAAGATGGGACAAAAGAGAAAAAAATGAAATCATTAGAGCCATATCGAAAAGCATGACTAATTACCTATCTTTATTGCTTTTACCAATGGTTTCTTCATATTTGACTATCCTAAAAATCTATGGTAAACCATTATTCTAAGAATCCATCAATGAGATTAAGCAGGCCTTTGTAATTTAAAACTCAATTTCTCCACATGCAGCATTCCCATATGGAGTCCTCATTCACTGAGCAATAGACACAAGCAGCCATTAGAAATAAAAAGTTCAATTATAGTCTTGCTTTATTGAATACATACTTACACATGCAAGCAACCAATTGACAAAAAAAAAAAAAAAAAACTTTTGAACATTTAAAAATTCCTCTTTACTGGTAAATCAGATTGTCTTTTACATTTGGTTAGTATGATCACTAACACCAGAAGCTGTTTCATCCCCAGAATCACATTATTAAGACTGATGCTTGGAGTTCAGACCCTAAAAATCTGATCCACACAAGGCCTACTGATGACCTCATATTGTGGAATACCCCTTTCTCTGCATACCATGAAATGATATCCTATTCCTGCAACTGGCTAGGAAACAGAAAAATCCTCAAGTTTGCCTGTAGCCTGTAATCAAAGTTCGATGGTATTTGTATTAAAGGGAAAATTTTCTGCTGCAACACATTATTTTATACACTAAACACGGTTTTAAAAGGCATATTTGACAATAATACATTCCCTCTTAATTTTTTTAACCAGGTCTCTTGAGCACTAACAGCTGGACATCTGGTTTTTCAAAGATAGCTCTTCACATGTGTGCACACAGCAGAAAGCAGGTGATCAGGCCCAGATCTAGCTGTAAGATTCTGGCCTGACAGGCTGTGAAGTCACAGCCTAAAATCATAGCCTAAAATGATCCTTCTTGAGGTCCATATTATACTTTCTATGGTCATTATAAAACACATATTGGTTCTATAGAGGGTCCAAGTGACCAAAAAAAAAGTCTGAAGCAATAATTCCATCTACCTGAGATCATGTGGTATGTCCTCAGTGACCACAGAGTATACATAGGATGAAGGGCTGGAGTCAGTTAGGGACATGGCAACAGAATCACTGAATACAACAAGCCAAGTCCTGGACTGAGCTACCAAGGCCCTACTTCACCCACCAGCCCAGCTAAAACTCAGCTGGGGCCCTGGCTCCTACTGGGATGCTGCACCAGATGAGGGTCTGTCCCCAGTCAGGGTAACTGGAGTTTGGAAGGTCTTGTATGTAGGACCCATTCATGGTCAGATAACGTGATGACAGGAAGGAATGCTGAGGGTAACAGCATTGTGGTTGATAGTGAAAAGTGAGACTGGACAGGACTCTTTCAGAGACATGGGTTGATCGAGAGTCACCCCCAAGTTCACTAGTTCTCTGGTCCATGTTGGCTCAGCTGGTTCACAATGAAAACAGCACTAAGGCCCATGGGACTGGCTCTGGCCCAGGGTGCTCTGACAGGTGCTCAGGGAGACTGCCACCGCCATTCACCTAAAACAATTTGTAGCTCATCACTTTTGAGAGATAAACTTCTTTGGAAGTCTTCACATTTTAAAGAAAACCTAGCAGAAGGCTGTGTCTGATGACAGAGCTCCATTCTAATTACAAGACACAAAACTGAATACATTTTCAAAATATGCAGTTCATGGTCACCAACTGTTCATACTGGATGGGTTATAGGTTCTCTGCTTAAAGAGAAGGTGGCACTGAATCATCCTGTTACTACTGTAGCAGCAGCAGAAGAGCTAGCTCTGACTCTCTCAAGCCAACCATTTATCCCCCAAATATATATGAATGTCATCTAACACACGTTTTAAAAGGACCCACTAAACTCTCTGCTAGGGCTGAGAATTCATCAGTGAATTAAAGAAAAAACTAAGCCTCTGATCTCATGGGGTTTAGATCCCAACAGGAAAGAAACAGTAGATAAAGAAAAATGTCAGGTGGTAAGAAAAAGAAATGCTGAAGTGGAGAGAAACAGATAATGTAAGTAGGAAAGGGCCCCTGCATGTGCGAGTGGGTACACACATTTGGGTGTGCACCCCTCATTTATATTTATCCTGTTTTAATTCAGCTGTGTCATTTACATAGTTCTACAACTTTGCGATGACTTTTCTACTCTTCCCTATGTGCACCTGCTTTACTCACCCTCCACCAAACCTCCTGCCATGCACAAATTTATATTGAAGTCCTTCTCCATCAGGTGACATCAAAGTCCAGAAGGAGAAGGCACAACTAGAGGAGATGTGCAGGATTTCTAAGTGCAAAGGCCCTGAAGGGAACTTGCTCTATTTATTTCCAGAAACACAGAGAAACCAGTGTGACGAGAGGGCAACACAGATGATAAGTAGGCACAGGAGCTAGAATCACAATGGATTTGATCATGGTGGGGCTGCAGGTTTGGACTGTGGGGGAAACGTGAATCACAGAACGGCTCTGATCAGAAGTGGGATGCGATCATTCTAGAGATTTTTCATTTAAAACGATTTCTGCTAATTCAGTGGAACAGAGACTGTCAGGGCAAGGATAGAAACAAGGAGATCAGCTGTTGCCTGTCAGAAAGAAATCTGATTTAAAAATGATCCCTATGCAGCGGGTAGAGAAAATGACACAGTAGAGAGCTAAAGTTTTCAAAGGAGAAATATTTGTAATAATGCTTTTAGAAGATTTACAAATGATGTATCTAGAGAACCTGTAGAAATCAATAAAGTTAAGTAGTTGCTCACAGGGAATCATGTAGAACATAAACACTAAACAAAGACTGTCTCCAAGGTTGATATTATCACGGGGTCCCTTTAAACCACTGCCAAATCTCATCATTCCGCTCACTTTTGAGCCGAAAATGAGCTTTGAAATTGCAGCTCTGATTGCCATTCCTCTTAAAACTCTTCACTGGCCTAAAGACAAAGTTCAAACTCCTCAATTGGTTGTTCACACCTTTTTTTTTTTTTTTTAAAGATTTATTTATTTGTGCATACAGAACTGGGGTACAGGCCAGAGGCTCAGGCGCGGTGAGAGGTTTCACAGAGACAGAGTGGGGAGCAGAACAGGCAGATCGACAAAGTACTGCTGAGGGGAGCAGCGGGCGGGTCAGGAGAGGTCTGTCGCGCCATGTGGATCTCCTCCGGGGCAGGCGGGAATCGAACTTATGCGGAAGTGGCTTTAGATTCTCAGTGCTGTGCTTTAACCCACTGTGCCACCAGGGAGTGCCCTGTTCAGACCTTTTTTAAGATGTGGTCTTTAGGCTCCAGAATATGAAAATTCTTTCAATTCTCTGAATATGACAATACGTTCTTACTCCCACGTCTGTGCAAGTTGTGTTATTTGAGCCATAACTACTTTACTTCTGAGAAGCAAGTTTCCCAATGGCTAACTGGCAAATCACAGTCAAATGCCCGAGTGCATAAACTCTAGTCCCCACTCTCAAACACAGGTCTAGACACACGCAGTAGGTATTACGAGTCCTTTTTGGAGGTGGGATGGCTGAGGTTCACACAGCTTGAGGATTTGTTGAAGGTGAAATGGACAGGAAGCTCCAGAACTGAGTGTCAAACACTGTTCTGTCTCTGAGACAGATATAATTAACTCCTCTATTACACCACCACTGATAGTGAGAAGTAATCTTTGAGAACTGCGTGGACAAGACCTTTGCAAAACCTCTTTTACGCAGGACCTTTGTTAGCAAAAATCCTATGATGGTTTTCACCAGCCTGGCTTTTATCTTTTGGATTTAGAGACTCAAATAGACAAGCAGCAATAGCGAAGGTGTAACATATGGGCTGGCATGTTCCTAGAAACAGCTGCCCTTTACTCTGGTTTTTAGCAATTACCTGGCTACCTCTTCCTGCATACATCATTAGGATAAGCTCTTATGTTGGTCAAGAAAAGGTCCTTCCCTGCCCCAATGCACATCTCACAATACATTCCTAAGTCAAAAGGATCCCAATGTCCAAGGATAGAAAGGAAGCAGTAAAAATCTCCCATCAGAAACAGGAGATGGGCTTCTGAACTTAACTCAAAATATCACAATTAGAGGTAGGAGTACAACTTGTGAAATTATTAGACACAAAATACAGATAAAGTTTATTGCTAGTAAAACAACTGAAAGCTACGTTCTGGATTTCAGTTTCTTAAGACCAAATCCATTGCTTATGAGGATGTGGGTGAGGTGCTGTCTAATGAGGGTCCCTTTACTTTTTGTCTTCATTCTTTTATGGTTTCTCCCATGTGATCAGATTCAAGCAAATCTCCATGTGATCAAATTCAAGTTCAACTTGACTGGCTCCACTAGTTCCTCAAATACATACTTCCATGAAAACTAATTAGGAAGACAGAATGGGCGCTGTGGACACAGTGATCTGCTCCCTCGCTTTCTTATATCCTGCCCACCCCTGAATTCTGGATTAAGGGAAAGGCTGTTTTCATGATGGTTTCAGACAAGTGCTCACTTTGAAATATCCATTATATCTTCATTATATATAATATCCATTATATCTTCAATGTGTCTTCAGCACAGTACCAAGAACATCCTATTGTCTTTTGCTCACCATTTATTTTAATTTATTTTTACTTAAACAGCAAAAATTTAGCTCATATAGTTCTGGAGGAGAGGAAAAGTGAGGTCAGGGAAAAGGATCTCTTCCTGGTTTGCAGGTGGTCATCCGCTTCTGTGTCCTCATATGGCAGAGAGCTGAGACACAGAAAGCACGCTAGTCCCTTCATGAGGAAGTGACCCTTATGACCTACTTAACTCCCAAAGGTGCCATCACATTAGACATTAGGGCTTCAGCATATGAATTTGGGGGGATACATTCAGCTTATAGCATCTGATTTCTATGAATCTGACAGCTTACTGGCCAAATAAGCATGGCCCTCTGACAAATCTTTCAGCAACACTCAAACACATGAGACAGTTTGATATACATAGATAGAAAAATGAAGTTTCACCTCTAGAAAAGTACAAATGAAAT